CTTTCCCCTTTTCATCTCCAACATACCTCCTGTTATATCCTTGTGCAGGCTTGCCTTTTTGGTTTGCTACCATTGCTCCCTCACTTGTGTCTTCTTGCCTCAAGAGTCTTCTTTGCTCTTGAGCTTGGACTGCATGAACAAGCTCAGTCAAGGTGATCTGAGACATATCCTTAGAGTCCTCAAGGGAAGAGATTTTAGACTCAAACCTCTCTGGCAAGCTTACCAAGACCTTTTTCACCACTTTTCTATCAGTTAACTCTACCCCTAACAACCTGATTTTGTTGACCACATTCATCAGCCTATCAACATAATCCTTCACTTTCTCTGATTCTTTCATCCTTAGCAACTCAAACTCCCTTCTCAAGTTCAGCACTTGCATGTTTCTTGTTGTATTGCTTCCCATGTATTCCTCTCTCAACTTGTCCCATGCCTCCTTTGGAGTTTCAAATGCCATGATCCTTGTGAACACAAGATCAGTTACAGCTGCATGGATGTGAGATAGGGCTCTCGGTGCCTTGGCAGCTTCCTCTTCATGCATTCTGATCTGGTTCAAAGTAGGATTTGGCCCCAGGGGTGCTGGCTGCCTATTCTGCTCTACATACTACCACAAGCTCTGACCCCAGAGGAAAGCCTTCATTTTTACTGCCCATATGTGATAATGTTCTCCATTGAAAACTGGAGGTGACATTAAGGCAGACTGTGCAACCATGTTCAAGCAGATGGTTTGAAATAGGGGAGTTTTTGGATGTCGGGTGGAGTTCTTGAAAATTTGAGTAAAGAGCCGATCTTGTGAGGAAGAGTTTTTAAATTTCTTAGGCTGGCTTTGATACCATTTGTTGGTTTTATGGCCGGAGAATGCAAAGAAAGAAAGGAAAAAACTGGAAGAGAAGTGGAATATCTTTCATTACCAAAGGCTGGAAAATATATACACCAGTCTAACCAAAACCTTACTGTTACAACAACTACAGCAGATACATTTTCCAAATTTGAATTTGAAACTCTAACAACTGATTAAAGCATACTCATAATACATCAATTACAAGTCTAAATCACACCTAAACTAGGATTCAAAAATTGCACCAAACTGCAGCTCACACACACACCCTCTGCAGCAACTAATTCCATTGGCGCCAAAATATTTAAACTGCAAACTGGAACAAAATGCATTTCCAGCAAGGTATCACTTCATCAACAGGGTGCTTTAGAGCTCGCTGGTGCCTCCATTGCTAGTGTTGGAATTCAAGGTCTCGCTTATGGAATCATGGTATGTGTCTTTTGACTTTTTAACTAGTTGATAATACTTAAAAAGTAATGAATCAAGGCTGATGTTTATTAATGTTTTTGGACCTTTTCAATGGTTGAATTTTTTTTTTTTGAAGAAATATTTGGTCAAACACACAAATCAACAAATTCTATAAAGAAACTTCTAAACAAAACCATTTTTATAAAAAACTCTCCAATGGGTTCTCATTATAAATAATAGTATATCTTTCTTCACTTTTGTTTAAAATTTGTTTTACTTGTCAACTTTTTTGTTAAAAAAAAAAAAATGCAACAGTTGAGCATGGCCAGAGCAGTTCAAACCGTGTGTGGACAAGCTTATGGAGCCAAGAAATATTCGGAGATGGGCGTCATTTGCCAAAGAGCAATAGTACTGCACGTGGGGGCAGCTATACTCCTCACAATCTTGTAATGGTTCTCAGGTCAGGTTCTTAAAGCAATGGACCAATCAGAAAGCATAGCCGAGCAGGGCCAAATTTTCGCTCGCGATTTGATCCCTCAACTTTACGCATTTGCACTGAGCTGCCCTATGCAACGTTTCCTTCAAGCACAGAACATAGTAAGCCCTCTAGCATATATGTCTATTGGGGTATTTCTGTTGCACATACTGTTAACATGGATTGTTGTTTATGTCTTGAACTATGGCCTACAGGGAGCAGCTCTCACGCTGAGTCTCTCTTGGCGGCTGCTTTCTATTATAAATGGTCTTTACATCGTGCTAAGCCCATCTTGCAGAGAAACCTGGACTGGCTTGTCTATCAAAGCGTTTAAGGGAATTTGGCCTTATTTCAAGCTTACTGTTGCTTCTGCAATTATGCTTTGGTTTTTGACTAAAACTCTTTCTTTGTGTCTGTCTCAGTCTTATCCTAGTTTTGATATTTTATATACATTAATTTTAATCATATGATACTCTTTTCATTTCAATTTGGAGATTTGGTACAGCCAAGGACTTGTGCTTATATCTGGACTTATCGCTAATCCTACAATCGCACTAGACTCCATTTCAGTATGGTGTGTCACTGTTTCAACATATCCTCTTTCCATAATTTAAATTTATAGTAACATTTTAAATTTACATGTAGCTCTAATCACTAGTGTGATATAATCTCAGCATGAATTACCTAAACTGGGACATGACTTTTATGTTGGGCCTAGCTGCAGCTGCAAGGTTAGTGAAACACTTCAAATTGAGATATTCCAATGGTTTGCAGCAAAGTGTTCATTTCCTTCTTTGTAAACTGACTGCAGTGTCCGGGTGAGTAATGAACTTGGAGCAGGACATCCCAGAGTAGCAAAATTTTCAGTAGTAGTAGTGATCGCGACGGGTGTCTTCATTAGTATACTTTTCAGTGCAATAATTTTAATCTACCGGGTTGGATTGAGTAAACTCTTTACATCTGATGCTGAGGTTATTGTAGCAATTTCAAATTTGACACCACTACTTGCCATGTCAGTTTTCTTGAATGGAATTCAAGCTATACTTTCAGGTAAGTCAGTAAGGATGATGCTCTGCCTCCAAATGGGATCATTGACCTTGGTTTATTAAGTATGGTTTTCCCTCTTTTTGTGGAATTTCAGGTGTGGCCATTGGAAGTGGGTAGCAAGCTATAGTGCATGTAGACCACTTTCACCCAAAACCATATTGTTTTAATACTTGAGTCCATGCTGTCTCGCCACTACTATGAAGAACATAGATGGGATTATGCTGGAGTTGATCCATCGGCTTGACAATCAAACCTCAGAAGAAGAAGAAGATATTACGACTGAAATTCAATTTGAAGTAAAGAGTTTAGCTGGTAATTAACATCTCTCTACTCACATCAAGATGAAGCTTTAATTATCATTTTCGAACACCCTCTTGCATAATGTTTGTTAGAAGATCCTTATATTAGAATTTGTGCTGTAATTAAATGTTTTACTGTAAGATCTTATAACTATTTGATAGATTTTAAATTTGTCCATGAACACAAAATTTCCAAAGCCATGTCAACATCTCAAGAACTTAAGAAGGTAGAAGGACCACAGCACATTACCTTAGTTGAACAAACAATATTCTACGTTACATCTTACCACGTGACTTGTATGGCAAAAATTTGGCTGAATCACATTTTCCCAACGATCGTTAAAATTTCAGACGTTACTTTTAACGTTTAAAGGACATTCTTTGTTTCTTACTCCCCTAAATACAAACAGATAACCAATTGCCTTCATCAACTTCGAAATTTTGCAATTTCCATCATTAAAATGGTGGTTTGACCGTGATTTACTGCTAAAATTACATATATGTCTATATTCACAGTTTTTTTAGGCTATTTTAATTACCTATGTGCTTTCACTGAAATTATTTGAGTTTCTATTAAAAAAAAAAAATGCAAAAACTTTTCATTTGTAATTATCTATAAGTAAACAATTACAAAACTACAAAACAAATTTTCATCAAAAAGGTAATTTTTGCAAAATATATATTTATGAAATTATATAAAAATATAATTTCCAAAAGTAGAAAAAAAAGAATTTGAGTTGGCCGGAATCGCAACTGAATTGGTAAAATTCCATCACCGAAGGCAAGGCTGCTGGTGAATTTTCTTTTAAGTTTTTTAATTTAATAACTATTTTTTTCTTCTAAATTGTATAATATATTGGCCCTAAATTAATATAAACCAAACTAGGGGTGGCAATAAATAATTAAGTTTTTGTTGTGAGGGGTGGGATGTCATTAATGTCTTTTGGCTGTTGTACCCCTCTCAAATAACATAGGGTGTGTTTGGTTTAATATTTCTACCCATATTCCCAATCCTATTCCCCAAATATTGTTTGACACATTATTTGAAAAATATTAGTATATTTTTTAATTACTTTTAGACCCGTTAAGTTTATTAATTTTACTAAATACCCCCACAAAAAAGTTTAAAAATTAGCAAAAATACCCCCACCCACCCATACTTGTTAGATTTCGGCAACCACCGTGGGTGGTAGCCGAAATCTGTCACAATGGCTTACATCACGACCGAAACTGGTCATTTATTAACCAATCTGGCCGTTAGCGACAACCAAAGAAATGACCATCGTTGATAAAAAATGACGGCCATATCTTTGGCCGTCCCTGAAAACCAAGGATGGACCTTTGCAGCCGTCGACGGCCACATTTGGCCCTAGATTCGGCCTTTTCTGGCCAGATCCGTGGTGGATCTGGCCAGAAAAGGCCATATTGACACGTTACGACATAAATCCGACCAGTCTGTGTTGTAAAGCAATTTTTCGGCCAGATTACGGTGGTGATGGCCAGAATCTAGCACTGCGGGTGGTGGGAGTGTTTTTGTTATTTTATATATTAGAGTGTTTAATTAAATTAGTAAACCTAAGGGTTTTTTTTATAAATTTTTAAATTTTACCTCGTACTACTCTTCTATTTAACTATGTTTAATTAAGTTTTTTTTTGATAGAGATTATTGTCTTTTGGCTGTTTTTTTGGGAAAAGAAAAATGTACATTGGTCAGACTTCGGGTGGGACAATGTTATTTAGCCCTACGCATAAGTCTTTTACTATCAATTCAATTTGAAAACTTATTTATTTTGTCCAGATTTGGTGACGCGACATTTTCCAAAGTGGTTGGCTTCCATGCCATCACCAACCCTTCTTTCAATGGCTTGAACAAATAAATTTGTTAAGGGGAAGTGGAACGTTAGTTCAATTAAAATATTGCATGCTTAAATATCTCAATCTAGTGCTGCTTTTATTTCAACTCAGCCCCAATTACTGATCAACTAAATTCATTTGTACGAATTTTAGACCAACACTAAGGTTGTTCAGTGTGTGTGAAAATGGGGTCTGCAGAGTATCAACCGTTGTTGATGGGGCTGGACTCACACTCCAGGTTACCCGACTTATCGTCCGACATGATTGAGGAGTTTTTGGAACGGAGACCGGTGGCGGCGGTGCGGTGGTGGCCCCGTCTTTTTGGGTGGGAGTCACGCCTGCTTTGGCTGCTGTCTGGGTCGGCTATTATTGTTTCTGTGTTTAATTACATGCTTAGTTTTGGCACGTTAATGTTCACCGGGCATTTGGGCGCTTTAGAGCTCGCCGGGGCCTCCATTGCAAGTGTAGGAATTCAAGGTCTCGCTTATGGAATTATGGTATGTATGTGTCTTTTGGCTTTTTGTTTACTCCTTCATACTATTAATAGAAAGGAACCAAGTGTGATGTCTTTCTTGAAGTAGATTTTTTATTTTATGTACAGATAAAAAAATTTGTCTGCAGAACAGACATATATTTTGATTACACTAAGGAAAATAGAATAAGAAGCATCATGTTTTATACTTCCTATCTTCAGTGTTTCTCTTTTTTCTTCACTCAACCCAAAAAAAAAAAAAATCTCAGATGCGTCCTCATCATGAGTCTTTAACTTCTGTTGCAATTTTGGCTTTACTTGAATAACAGTTGGGCATGGCCAGTGCAGTCCAAACCGTATGTGGCCAAGCTTATGGAGCCAGGAAATATTCGGAAATGGGCATCATTTGCCAAAGAGCAATTGTACTGCACGTGGGGGCAGCTGTCCTCCTCACGTTTTTGTATTGGTTCTCAGGTCCGGTCCTTAAAGCAATGGGTCAATCAGAAAGCATAGCCGAGCAGGGCCAAATTTTCGCTCGCGGTTTGATCCCTCAACTTTACGCATTTGCACTCAGCTGCCCTATGCAACGTTTCCTTCAAGCACAGAACATAGTTAACCCTTTGGCATATATGTCTGTTGGGGTGTTTTTGCTGCATATGATGTTGACATGGATTGTTGTTTATGTCTTGGACTATGGCCTAATAGGGGCAGCTCTCACACTGAGTTTCTCTTGGTGGCTGCTTTCTATTATAAATGGTCTTTACATTGTTCTAAGTCCATCTTGCAAAGAAACCTGGACTGGCTTGTCTATCAAAGCGTTTAGAGGAATTTGGCCCTATTTCAAGCTTACTATTGCTTCTGCTGTTATGCTTTGGTTTGAGATTTAACCTTTCTCTGTCTGTCTCAGTCTTTACCTAGTTTGGTGTTTTCTATAATTACTATTGTTGAGCATATCATACCTTTTTTTTTTCCAGTTTGGAGATTTGGTACAGCCAAGGACTGGTACTTATATCTGGACTTCTCTCTAATCCTACAATCTCACTAGACTCCATTTCCATATGGTGAATGAATTTTTCGACATACCCTGTTTCCATATGTTATATATATAGTAACATTTTAACCTTACATGGAGCTCTGATGTGATATATTTTCAGTATGAATTACTTGAACTGGGACTTGCAATTTATGCTAGGCCTAGCTAACGGATCCAGGTTAGTGAAACACTTCAGATTGAGATATTATTCCAATGGTTTTTGCACCAAATTATTCATTTCTTTGTTTTCAAACTGACTGCAGTATTCGGGTGAGTAATGAACTTGGAGCAGGACATGCCAGAGTTGCAAAGTTTTCAGTAGTAGTAGTGAACGCGACCAGCATCTTCATTAGTATAGTTTTCAGTGCAATAGTTTTAATATTCAGGGTTGAATTGAGTAAACTCTTCACATCTGATTCCGAGGTTATAGAAGCAGTTTCGAATTTGACACCACTACTTGCCATATCTGTTTTCTTGAATGGGATTCAACCTATACTTTCAGGTTAGTTAACAATGAATAATTCTGACCCTCCAAATGGGATCATTGTCCTTGGTTTTTAGGTAAGGATTTCCCCTCCTTTTGGAAATTTCAGGTGTGGCCATTGGAAGTGGGTGGCAAGCTGTAGTTGCTTATGTTAATGTAGCCACCTACTACGTTATCGGTCTCCCAATCGGATGTGTTCTTGGCTTCAAAACTTCTTTAGGAGTAGCAGTAAGTCGAAGATCTTTCTCTATTTCTGTGATGTAATTTACTAGACATCGTTAACAAAAAGGTATCATTTACATTGTTCAGGGTATTTGGTGGGGGTTGATCATTGGAGTTCTGTTTCAAACATTAACCCTAATTATTATCACAGCCAAAACAAATTGGGATGCAGAGGTAAGCCACAGGTTTTCATAAAGTATGATATGAATGTATAAAAATGTGTTGAAGTTGAGCAATTCCTCACTGTTGATAATATTATTGTAGGTTGTAAAAGCTGCTGAGCGTGTGAAGAAATCTTCGAACGCCGAGACCTTAGACTTGGTGACTAACGCATGAAGACATTATATTGACCTAAAATAATGTGACAATCATTTCTGCATATGTAATTCATATTAATAGTGAGACTAAAGCAAGTAATACAAGGGAAATCAAGGCAATAAAACTTCAATTTATTCTCTTCTTTTATCTCAAAAAATGCAAAATCAATTTGATTTGTCTTTTTCGTCATTTTACATCAATGCTACCGGCAAAATCTTTATATTAAATGTAAAAGAAGTTAAATTTAAGTTGTCTCTTCCATCATCAAAATATATTAAATCACCAAACTTACAGCATCAAAATTGACTGTAAATAGAGTGGATCAAAACTTACAGCAACAAAGTTAATGGTTTAAACCATAGGTTGATATAGATATAAACGTACAGGCCAAAATTGACTCATTTTACATGGAACCAACAGCAAAATACTCGATACAAGAACCATTAGGGCCCAATGGGATAGTGATGATGATTTCATTTACACGAAGAGTGCGACTGATAACATTGAACTAATTTAAGGGTTTGTGTGATACTAATAAGAAATGGCCTCTTCGGCATCCTCTTCATCATCATCTTCCTTATCGACAAACCTAGATAATCTGTTAATCATAGGCTCACTAAAATGATAATAAAAATTTCCTACAACTTCATTACCATCTTTCTGTTCATCTGCAGTCCTAACCAGAGACAATAAAATATTCTTTGCTTTTTGGTCTGGAGAAAAACCACAGGATTCCATTTCCTTATGCCAAACAACAGCACTGTCAAAATCCTTGTTCTTGCCATATGCAGCCATGATCTAGGTGAAGATTGTTTGATTGGCTTTTATATCACTTACTCTCATTTTTCCATAAATTTCCATCATTTTTTCAAGATTATTTGCCTTAGCATATCCTTTGATCAACGTCCCATAAGTGACAACATTGGGAATAAATCCATCTTGTTTCAATCTTCTGAATAACTTGTCCGCACCTTCCATGATGCATTCACATAAGCTGATCATACTGTCACCCAAAACCATAATTTTTTTAGTACTTTAAGTTCATGCTGTCTGTCTACTAATATGAAGAAGAGCTGCATTACTGGTATAGTGAGACTGTAGGTTTTTGGAGCTAGATTATGCTAAGAGAATGAAGGTTTAAGTGCACGTGAGAGAGAGTTATAGAGAGGGAAAATTTGAAATACAAATCTGCTCTGTTTTTCATTCATAGAACAGGAGTGTTTGTTGGTGTTATGGCCGGAGACTTACAAAGAAAGGAAGGAAAAAACTGGAAGAGAAGTGGAATATTTTCATTACAGAAAGCTGGAAAATATATACACCAGTCTAACCAAAACCTTACTGTTACAACAACTACAGCAGATACATTTTCCAAATTTGAATTTAAACTCTAACAACCAACAGATACATACTCAAAATACATCAATTACCAATCTTAATCACACCTAAACTAAGATTCAAAAATGCACCAACTTGCAGCTCACACACGACAACTGCAGCAAATGAATTCCAGTGGCGCCAAAACTTTTTCAAACTGAACTGAACCATGATGCATTTCCAGCAAGGTATCACTGCATCAACACTCCTCCTTGATACTTTTGCTGGAAACACCAAGTTTGAGCCTAAGATGTTCAAACTTGTCTTTGGACAATGCTTTGGTCATAATGTCAGCAGTTTGTTCTTCACCCCTGCAATGGATTAAGCTAACTTCACCATTATACTCAGCTTCCCTCACTGCATGAAATTTTATCTTGATATGCTTGGTCCTACCGTGAAGCACTGGATTTTTGGCCATGGCAACTGCAGACTGGTTGTCACATAGAATTGGAGTTGAACTTCCCTCGTTTTGCTTCAGGTCTGCCAGAATTTTCCTAAGCCAAATTGCTTGGTTCACAGCTGCTGCAGCAGATACATACTCTGCCTCTGCTGTGGACTGAGCCAAAGTCTCCTGTTTCTTGGACAGCCAACTAATTGCACCAGAGTTTATGTAGAATACATAACTTGAGGTGCTTTTCATGTCATCAAAAGATCCTCCCCAGTCACTGTCTGTATAGCCCAGCAACTTCAAATTTTCAGACCTTTTGAACCAAATGCCAAGCCTAGACTCCCTTTCACATATCTTAACACTCTCTTGGTTGCCCTATAATGCAACTCACTTAGACTACTCATGAACCTGGAAAGATAACTGGCAACAAACATTAGGTCTGGTCGTGTGGTTGTTAAGTACAGCGAGCATCCAATCAGACTTCTAAACAGCCCCTCATCCACTCTCATTGCACCATCATCCTTACTTAGCTTCAAATTTGGAACCAGTGGAGTGTCTATAGGTTTGCAACTTTCCATGCCAAACTTTCTAAGGACTTCATTTGCATAACTCTCTTGGCACACAAAAATTCCATCATTGGACTGAAATATTTCCATACCAAGAAAGTATGTCATTTCCCCCAAATCTGTCATCTCAAATTCACTTTGCATGGACTTCTTAAACTGACTCAATTGATCTACATTGCTCCTTGTGATCAGCAGATCATCCACATACAAAGAGACCACAATAATGTCACCTTTAGTTTCCTTAACATAAAGTGTATGCTCATTAGGACTTCTAACATATCCTAGTTTGCTTAGATAGTCACTTATGAGGTTGTACCAGGCTCTAGGTGCCTGTTTCAGGCCATATAAAGCCTTCTTCAGTAGGTACACTTTATCTTCTTCACCCTTGACCTGATAACCTTCAGGTTGTTCCACAAAGATTTCCTCACTCAACCAGCCATTTAGGAATGCCGATTTAACATCAAGCTGGAAAATTTTCCAGCCAAATTGAGCTATATAGCAAGGAGTAACCTGATGGTGTCATGCCTGGCCACCGAAGCAAATGTGTCTGAAAAATCCACCCCATGTTGTTGTGCAAACCCTTTAACCACCAGACTTGCTTTGTGTTTGCTGACTGATCCATCAGGATTAAGTTTCTTCTTGTAAATCCATTTTACTTGGATCACCTTCCTGTTTCTAGGTCTGTCAACCAGCTCGCAGGTCCTATTTTTTTTTTTTCTATCATTAACATCTCCTCCTACATTGCATTTCTCCAAGCTTCTGACTCAGCTGCTTCAGCATAATTCCTTGGTTCAAGCACAACCATATTGCTCCTAACATAAATGTTAGCCAAGGTCCTGGTCCTTCTAACCGAAGGCTCTTCATCCTCTTCAGTTTCAGCTTCATCAACCAGTTTCTCGGTTGGCTGCTGTAATTTGCAGTCTTCATCAATCCTTTTCTTCTCCCAATTCCAGATTGCTCTCTCATCTACCTTTACATCCCTTGTAATCACTACTCTTTTAGATTTAGGAATGTAGACTCTATAGCCTTTGGACTGACTGTTGTACCCAATAAAAAACCCAACTGCTGATTTTTCATCCAACTTGCTCCTCTTATTTGCTGGAATCATTACATAGGAAATACTCCCAAACACTTTAAGATGACTTACTGTCGGTTTGACTCCACTCCAGGCTTCAAATGGAGTCTTATTTTTGATAGCCTTGGTTGGGAGTCTATTGAGAATGTAGACTCATGTGTTCACAGCTTCAGCCCAAAAACTTCTTGACAATTTTTTCTCCACAATCATACACCTAGCCATCTCCATAAGTGTCATATTCTTCCTTTCACTAACTCCATTTTGTTGTGGAGTATATGGAGTAGTGAATTGATGCTTGATCCCATCTTCTTTGCAAATGGAATCAAACTCCTCAGAGGTATATTCTGTCCCATTGTCACTCCTTATGATTTTGATTCTCCATCAGCAGCTTAAAACCTTTAAACACTACAACAACCTCATTCTTTTGTCTTAGGAAGTACACCCAAGTCATGCGTGTGAGGTGATCAATAAATAGCACAAAGTACCTGCTTCCACTCATGGATTCAGCTTGCATAGGACCACAAACATCAGTGTGGATCAGCTGGAGTTTTTCAGTTGCTCTCTAAACCTGATTCATGGGAAAGGGTGGCTTGTTGAGCTTACCAAGTTGGCAGGCACTACATAGGGTCTTCTTCTCTTCAATCTCAGGCAAATCCAGAACCATATTTTTGTTCTTGAGCTCTTTGATGCCATTGTAGTGACAATGGCCAAGCTTTTTGTGCCAAAGTTCTTAATCTTCCAGCCTAGATGATAAGGCTAAATTTCCAGAATTCTTCCACTCAACTAGGAAGCTTTTTCCTATCATTTTCACACACATTAATTCATTTCCATCAGCATCTAGAATAAGACAGGCCTGATTTTGAAAATGTAGAGAATAACCCTTCTCTAACATTTGCCCAACACTTAACAAATTTTGACTGATTTCATGTGCATACAAAACATTAGAGATGATTTTAGTACCTGATGGTGTTTGGACAGTCACATCTCCAATGCCTTTGACCTCCACAAAATCACCATTTCCAATTTTAACTCTGGAGCTATATGTGTCGTCCAGGTTAATGAATTTTTGCAGGTCTGTAACCATGTGGTTTGTGCAGCCACTGTCAATCAGCCAAGCTTCATTGCTGATCCGAGCTGTACAACAAGAGGCCACAAAGAGCTGCTCAGCCTTCTGACATTGCGGCTGATCTTCTCCCACTTGAGCTTGCTATGGTGGCTGACTTCCCTTGTTCTTGCAAACTTTTTCTATGTGTCCAAATTGCTTACAACTTCTGCATTGGATCCATGTTCTGAACCAGTACTTCCTTTCTAAATGCCCCTTCTTTTTGCAGTGAGTGTAGACTGGATACTCCTTCACTCCACCTGTTTTTTCCCACTGATTATTGCTCCTTTCTTTCCCCTTTTCATCTCCAGCATACCTCCTGTTATATCCTTGTGCAGGCTTGCCTTTTTGGTTTGCTACCATTGCTCCTTCACTTGTGTCTTTTTGCCTCAAGAGTCTTCTTTGCTCTTGAGCTTGGAGTGCATGAACAAACTCAATCAAGGTGATCTGAGACATGTTCTTAGGGTCCTCAAGGGAAGAGATTTTGGACTCAAACCTCTCCGGCAAGCTCACCAAGACCTTTTCCACCACTCTTCTATCAGTTAACTCTACCCCTAACAACCTGATTTTGTTGACCACATTCATCAATCTGTCAACATACTCTTTCACTTTCTCTGATTCTTTCACAGCAACTCAA